CGTCCAGTTGCCAAGGTGGCATGTCCATGTCAGCTTCTGGTGCACGTGTGGCGTGTTTTGGACTGGTGGTGGATGAGATAGATAGATCGAGGACCCAGACAGTAGCATTTTTAGTTCGAAGACCCAGATAGAAATCCACCAAAAGTTTAAGAACCTACGGTGCAATTTACTCTTTGGCTAAATAAAACTGCCCTAGAAAGTTGCCTGTTTTTTAACGACATAAAACAACCACCCCTAAAATTGCACTGTCCCTGAAAATGAGTGTATTTCTAGGGGGCGCAAGTCAAGCGTTCTTAAAAAATGATTTTTAGGTCAACTACTTCTAAAAATAGATGTTGAACAAATAAATTTATATTTTTTCTCAAATAAAGTTAGATAAAGACAAACTTTATCAAAAATAATAGAGCTTAACGAGATCTAAAACTTTATAGTTGATGTTTTTTTATTTGTGATCGTTTACCCAAAATTATGTTTTAAGTCATTGAATTTTTAAATTCATTTTTTGAATTTTTTAAATAACCTTGGATGGATTCACACCATATATCAAAGTTGTAGAGCTCGAGAGATGTAAGACTTTGTAATTAAAACTTTTTTCACTTGAAATCATCTAGGGATGGAATATTTAATATAGATTCGTAGAAGTGAAACACAAAAGGACATTGCATCGTATAATTAGTCACACATGATTGTGTGGTGTGGTGGTTGAATGGCTTCATGTGAAGCAAGAAGCACTTATGAAAAACGGAAAGATTGAAGCTCTCGAGCAAGGAAAAAATATTATTGTTTTTAAACTTTTTGACCAAATTTAATTATTTTTGTGTTTTTAAAAATATTTTTAGGGGTAATTGACCAAGTTTAATTTGTTTGTGGTTTAAAATATTTTGTGACCTGCACGTTGCTTAGCACACGAGCCCGCGTGCAAAATACTACCTCCGTTTTCGTTTACTTGTTACCGAATTTTTACTGTAGCAATTTTGACCATACGCTTTTTTCCCTTGTAAAAGATTTTTAGATACATCAAGTTTATACATATATGATTCTTTATTGAACATACTTCATTAGTGTTATATACATTGAAGTATCTAAGATTTTTTAGAAGAAAAAACAGATGGTCAAATTTGCTACAGTAAAAAATTGCTGACAAGTAAACACAGAATGAGGGAAGTATTTAAAATAAAATACTGCGTTTTTGTTTTTTGTTTTGAGCTAACTCGAACTTGTGAAGAGGCCCAACGAAAAGCCCATTAATATGACAGCCTACCTATCCAGCACAGATAGATGACGACGACGTATTGAGCCTAAGTGACGTATGGGCCTCATAGGTGGGCTGGATCTGAGCGATGCTGCCTGAAGATTTCTGTACACAAATATGGCTAGTTGGGCTGATTCTTTTCAACACAAATTACAAGTACTTTCTATGATTGTTGACCTGTTGCCTATACTACTATTTGCTTTGCCAGTTCGGTAATCCTAGAGCCTGGACGTCCGGTGCGCGAGACGCGTCCGGACGCCGTGCCCTTCTGAAACTCACCCGTTCCCGTAGGAATAGAACGGAACGCCGCTCCCTTCCCAAACCCGCCTGCCCGGCCCCTACGTTGGAATAGAACGGATCCCCCCCGCCCCCCGCATCACCCCGTTCCCCTATCGCGCCCCCTGTCCCAAGAGCACGAAAACACTTCAAGTGCAACATCACAAGACATGTAAAAACTATGAAGTGCAACATCGGAATACGAATACTGCAACATGGAAAAAATACGTAGTGCAACATCGAGAAATATGTAGTGCAACATTGAAAAACATGTACTGCAACAACGAAAATTATGTACCGCAACTACGAAAATTATGTACTGCAACATCAAAAAAATATGTACATCAACATCAAAAAACATGTACTACAACATCGAAAAAATATATACTGCAACATCCAAAAAATATGTGCTGCAACATCGAAAATTGTGTACTGCAACATCTCAAGCAGTAGTACTGCAACATCACAAAAACATCTGTTGCAACGACCCAAAAATTCCATTGCAACATTCGAAAATCATCTGTTGTAACGTCTCAAAAAACCCATTGAAACACGGGAGAAACAGAAAAAAAAATACAAAAGCAGCCCCTGGCCCATCACCTTGAGCTCGCGGGAGGGAGGAGGGAATAGGACCCCAGAGCTCGCCGGAACTCTAGCCACCGCCGCGTCCCTCAGATCCAGAGGAGGGTGAGGAGGAGGAGGAGGTGGGCTCAGATCCAGAGGAGGACGGACCTACCTCGTCGGAGTAGCTGCCGTCGTCCTCGTTTCCGGTGGAGGGAGCGGGAGCCAGTCACGGGGGGGGGGCAGGTCGCGGAGGAGAGAGAGAGAGAGGAGGGCGCGGGGTGGGCGGGGTGGTCGGCGCGTGGTGTCCGTCACGGCGGGCGAGCGAGCGAGCACTGCAGTAGAATGGGAGCGCAAGCGCTGCGGGAGTGCAACTCGAGGAAAGGATAAGGAGGAGTGAGGGAGGCAGCGTGCGGCACGGGTGGGTTGGTTCGGTGTGAGTCAGGTGTGCCCGTCCCCGTCTCGATGCCCCTTTGTATATCATTATCGTTGCCGGTTTATATATATATATATATATATATATATATATATATATATATATATATTTTTTTTTCTTGCAATAAACACAGTCATATCCGTAGCGCATTCATTCATGCCCTATTCATCGATATTAAACCTCAAATCGATAGCCATAAACAGGCACGGGAATTCTTCAATTCATTAGTAAATTATTATCCGGCTTACCTCACCAAAGTGTGTTTTAGCCAATCACTATGGTCACAATCACAAGTTGTGGAAACACCACGAATGCATCTGTCGATCGCTAAAATCTTTTTTGCTAGCATTGTCTCTGGTGAATGGTGAGACACCTGTTATGGATTTTCTCTTGTACCCTCTTCATCAAGGAAATGCCTTGCTAACCTTGTTTCAGTTTCCAGGTCACAAGCGCCTTTCTTCTCCATGCTTTTAGTCCACAGCACAGAATACAAGCCAATCACTATGATCGCCGCGCCTATAACACTGTGTGAAATTACGAAAACGATTACAGTTAATTACCAATACATTCAATTGTTCAGCAATCCAATTTGAAGTGTTCAAGTTCAAAATTCTTTACCCTCCAGTATAGAGTTGATCACCAAGGAAAATTGCTGCCAAGATGGCTACCATGACAGTCTGCAGTGGTTGGAAGACAGCAACGAAGAGCGGGCCTCCCTTATTTATGCACCAAATCTTAAGGGACCAGGCAAGACCCGTGGCCACAATACCCTGCATTTGAATGATATGTGCAGAAGTTTTGATGCATTCACTTATACAGATCTGTTGTTTGTCTCCTATCCTATATTCCAATGTCAAAAAAACTGTTCCCTTATAGTTACAAAATTGATGATTTAGATTTCCCAAGCTTCACCTACTCCCCTATATATATGTTTCCAAAATCATAGAAAGTTATGGTGTACACTAGTTTATGATGTTTGTAGTAAAGCCAAAAAAAAAGTTTTCATTTTCTTTAATTCAATGAACATATGTAAGTTATATTCGTGCAACCATATTCTAGTGTCGCGTCGCCGTGTGCCGCGTCATGCTTCGCCCCTGAGTGCTCCCATTGGTCCACGGCATGCTTCGGCTCCGACCAACCAACCGATGCTCGAATGATGGGGGAAGCAAGTCATCTGAGGCTCCAAATCGTAAGCATCGCTGGTTGCTGGATGCCTCGCTCGCATGCCTCACCATCCTCTTCCAGGTGCTTCTAGACTCCAAGGGAAGGGCAGTCTTGACTCTGCGGTTCTACTCGTCAGGCTGTTGAAATATTCAGAGTGTGTTCCAGGCTGTTCAAATGTTCAGAGAGTCTCGCGTAAATAGCGGAGTTGACTGTTGGCAGTTCAATAGCAGAGTGGATAGATGGGAGTGTAAAGTGATATTGTGAGTAAACATTTGAGGTTGTGACCACTGAATTGTCAAAATGAATGACTGGATGTATAGATTGTTGCAAAATGATCATGTCATGTTTGCAAAAGAGTTTGGGATAATCTCATTTCAGGGAACATTTACACATGTTTGCTCTTAAACATACAGACAGATCATCATAACTATTTTCAGCAGGCAAAAGGCATTCATACAAAGTTGCAAAAGACATTCAGATTACACATCAGTTGCAAATATCCATACTTTCTTCCATCTCAAATATGCTGATTTCATTTTTAATGAAAGCAAGTTGACATTTTCTTTAACCAATTCCAACACCATCTGAGTGGGAGAGAGATGGCAACAAAATTAGAAGAATAAATATTGCTGCAATCTAAATACACATGAAGAGACAGGATGCAAAGCAGCAAACCTGTTCCTGGGATGGAGAGACCAAGAGATGCAGTGCACCAGCCGATTGCCGTCAGCTCACCCTCGTGTTCACGCGAAAACAATATGCAACGTAACAGGTGTCATTCATTCTCGGAGCTAGAATCGATGTATGAACCTTGCAATGATTTTGGCCAAGGCATTACCTGATGGATTGATATAATAATAATAATGCTGACGAACAGCCTCTCTGAGCCGCACGCCATGGAGGGCAGACTGGTATGAATCTGTCACCAGTGCCAATAGGTCTGCTACTGAAGACGATGGCGATCTGAGCGCGAAGACTGATGACAACCAGAAGTTGAACGCTAAACGGGCCAGGAGGCCGAATCCTAAGGTGATGGGACCTGCGTGGCTGTAAATGGGCAAGGCGGCCCATGTAAGCGTGATAAGAGAGAGGCAGCCAGGAGAAGGCAAACTCGACTTGTATTCGATATTCTCTGAACCGTGCGGCAGTGCCGGCGGCGACGGCGGTGGATCCGGCTGGTCCGACGAACACAAGTTCACCTACCAAACTCTATCAGTAATATACATCGTGCTAGTCGGTAACAATTTAGTACCGGAGCTTCGACCCTAGCATCACATCCGTACCTCACACGTGACACGCCGTCAGATGGCCATGGCGACGCCGGAGGAGCAGTACGGCCAGATCCTGGCGCTTCTCGGTCAGAACTCCAAGGGGATCGAGGAATGGCACAGTTCCATGGTGGAGATGCGGGCCTTGAGGACCGACATCAACACTTGGAAGCCCATCGTCGACAGCCGCGTCACCGACCTGGAGCACACGGTGATGGATCTCGGCGAGTGCATGGAGCAGGCGCTGGGGACTCTACTACCGCAAGCACAACCAGTGGACTCCTCGACGGCAACGCTGTCAGGCTACGTCACCATCGCCCAACCTCCACCGACCACCGCTCCGGGGGACCTCTCTGCCTCCGCGAGCCTGAAGGTGCCGGGCTCCGCCCATCTGGAGCCTACCCCGCCGCGGGCGTCATCTGGGTCTAAGGACCACGGCGAAGAAAATCATCACCGGGGTACTGGCTTCGGGGTAGTGTATACCACTACTCCGATCCCTGCCCCGGTCACAGGTACGCCAATTTCCTTTATCCCAACGCTCTGCAATTTGGATCGATTGGTTATGCATCTAGTGGCTTAGCTCTGAATTGGAATTCTGCCATTTTCAATTTCCCCAAATTTGATAGTAGCAATCCGAAACTCTGGATTAGGAATTCTGAGACATTTTTTTATGTATATTCTGTACCTGAGAACCTTTGGGTCAAGTTAGCCACCATGAACTTCTCCGGGTCTGCTTCCCTTTGGGTTCAGACTGTCCCTGGTTTTGCTCGTAATCATTCATGGAAGGATCTCTGTTCTGCCATCTGCAGTAAGTTCGATCGGGATGAGCACGATCACTTACAGCGCAATTTTTTCCACCTTAAGCAAACTAGTACTGTTACTGAGTATATTGAAGCCTTTAGTGATACATTCCATCAGTTACTTGCTCATAATCCTCACTTAGATCCTTCCTTTATCACCAATCGATTCATAGATGGTTTACGTGACGATATTAAGGCTGTTGTTTTGGTTCAACGCCGACGAAACCTTCGAGCAGCCACCGCCCCCCCTACCGGAGGAGCTCATCAAGGAGATCCTCCTCCGCTTCCTGCTCGGTGAACCGGCGAGCCTCTTCCGCGCCGCTCTCGTCTGCAAGCCATGGTGCCGCCTCATCTCCGGCCCCCGCTTCCGCCGCAGGTTCCGCGAGCTCCACCACACGCCCCCAATGCTGGGATTCCTCTGCAACACCAGCTTCGTGCCCACAACCGCCTTCTGCCCGTCGCTTGCCGGCCGCTTTCACTGGGGCGCGCTGGACGCCCGCCACGGTCGTGTCCTCATTCGAAGGTATGTTCCGGAGGAGGAGGACGTCCTCGTGGTCTAGGATCCCATGACGGACGAGCAGCGGGTGCTGCCCATTCCGCCGCGGCCGACAATCGGCTCGACTGCTGCGGTTCTCTGCGCCAGCGCCGGCGCCAGCGCTGGTGTCTGCCACCACCTTGATTGCCACCGTGGACCCTTCCTTGTGGTTTTTTGGCTTTGATCCGTATGAAACTTTCATCTACACTTACTCATCAGATGTTGGTGCATGGAGTGAGCCAATCAGCACTCAACACCTTGATTACAGCTTGGTTGATTTAGAGGAGCGCTCTGTGCTTGTGGGTAATGCATTCTATTTTGGGATTCGGTTCGCAAACATAACTCTGAAGTACAATTTGGAATCACGTGAAATGTCTTGGATTCAGCTTCCATTCGAATGCTCCAATTGGCGGTGTCATGTGCTCACAACCACGGAGGAAGGTGTGCTGGGGCTCGTCAGTGTAGTTAACTCCAAACTCTCCATGTGGTTGAGGAAGGATGCTCCTGAAGTTGATGCTGGATGGACAAAGAGTAGAGTGATTGACCTTAAGACGTTGCTCCCTCTTGATGGCGTCTTTACCTCACCTCATGTGTTTGGTTTCACGGATGGTCTTGGTATCGTTTTCATGATGGTGGGAAGCATTCTCTACACCATTGATTTAAAGACCTATAAGGTGGAGTTATACCAGGACACAGGAATCGGCTATGTTGTTCCGTACATGAGCTTCTACACTCCAGGTACATGTTTACTTAGTTTTTGGTTTTACAATATCCTGAACAAGTAAAGAATTGGTTACTAACACGGCATGGTAGGCTCCAAGAATAACAAATTTGTGAAAGTGCATTATGTGTTCTACTGGTTCTATCCTACCTAAATCCTTTTAATATTGGCAATCTTGATATGCCTAGGAATTTATTTATTGACCTATGATGCATGTTATGCTCTCATGGTAAGGTCATGACAACTTAGGCTCAGCCAAGAAGGTATATAGCTCGAGAGGTAAAGAAAAAGTAATTCCTTGGATGAGCTTCTACACTAAAGATGCCTTGTACATATCTCTAATCCAGTTCATCCGTACTCCTAATCTGTCAATGAATGGTGATATCGGGGTGCTAAACTTAGTAATATTGTTATCTTAGCGAGTTTGAGTTTGTGCAGGTGTTGCTGTTAACTGATGTTGCTGTGAATAATATAGTACTGCTGCTTGGTTGATGAGAAATAATTGCGCATTGAGGAAAATTTGATTCATTATTGAGCTGATACCATTCTCAAACCTTTTAAATTCCTGCAGAATTGGAAACTGCTTGTTCAGGTGAGGGACCAAGTGAGGGTGGCTCAAGTGAGATTGTTGTTGGCCTTCAACTTTTGTGTTTTTTAAGTAGCAGTGGTCAGATCCCCTTCTCACTCTCTTTCCCTAGTTTTTTGGTCCCTCAAAAATGACTCCTGATCTCTCAAACAAAGGGGGTTTCACCCGGAACAAAATCCTCTAACTTCGGCCTGGATGACTACAAAATGCAGCCGAAGAAGGATCACCATTCGTTGAGAATCAGACGTCCGCGCATCGACGCACTTATGGATGCATTCACAGCCTCCCGATCTGGCCCAACGACCGCAGGTTTGCTCGACGAGAACCTAGGCGCCGCCGCCTAGTGTCGCGCTGCTGTGTGTCGCCCGTGAGTTCTCTCCCCTTGGTCCGCGCCATGCTTCGGCTCTGACTGACCACTTGATGCTCGAATGATGAAGGAAGCAAGTCATCTCAGGCCCCATATCGTAAGCATCGCTGGTCACTGGATGCCTCGCTCGCATGCCTCACCATCCTCATCCAGGTGCTTTTGGACTCCCAAGGGAAGGGCAGTCTTGACTCTGCAGTTCTACTCGTCAGACTGTTCAGATATTCAGAGAGTGTTCCAGGCTGTTCAAATGTTCAGAGTGTGTCAAGTGTAAATAGCGGAGTTGACTGTTGGCAGTTCAATAGCAGAGTGGTTAGATGGGATTGTGAGATTGTAGTGTGATATTGAGTAAACATTTGAGGTTGTGACCACTAAATTGTCAAAATGAATGACTGGATGTATAGATTGTTGCAAAATGATCATGTCATGTTTGCAAAAGAGTTTGTGATACTCTCATTTCAACGAAGATTTGCACATGTTTGCTCCTAAACATACATACAGATCATCATAACTATTTTTCTGGAGGCAAAAGGCATTCATACAAACTTGCAAAAGACATTTGGACTACACATTTGGGGCAAAAGACATTCACCAAATATCCATACTTTCTTCCATCTCAAAGATGCTGATTCCGTTTTTGATGAAAGCAAGTCGACGTTTTCTTTAATCAATTCCAACACAATCTGAGTGGGAGAGAGTTGTCCACCAAATTAAAAGAATATTGCTGCAATCTAAATACACATGAAGTGACAGGATGCAAAGCAGCAAACCTGTTCCTGGCATAGAGAGACGAAGAGATGTAGCGCACCAGCCGATTGCCGTCGCCTCAACCTCGTGTTCGTGCGAAAACAAGAGGGAACTCGCGCCCAAAAAAAAAAAAAAAAGCAGCGACAGTGCCCAAAAGAGCAAGTGATAGTGTTGTTTTTGAGCCGAGACCTAGATAGTGGAGTGTGGCACATCCGCACACACATTGTGTCTGGTTGAAATCGCGAGCCGAAGCTCAAGACGTCCGATCCCCAGCTAATGGTGATCCTGCTTCGACTGCTCTCTAGTGCCGTTGAGGGTGAATTTAGAGAATCTCGTTCTGTTTGGTTTCTAAATATTAGAGACTGCTTCGACTAGAGAGCAGTGTTGTATATTGGAGACTACATCTAAATACTTCTCTAATAATGATTCAATAGTCGACTAAGCAATATTTAGATTTAGTCTCTCGTATTGGGGCTTTTAACTCGTGTAGAGAGCAGTCGACTAGACAGGCTTGCAAACATGGGGACGAAAGGCACTCGGTGAAGCTGTTTAGGACTCACCAGAGTGCTCCAGTGTGGCATCTGAGTGCTCACCGGAGCCGTTCCGGTGTGGCACCGGAGTGCCCACCAGAGTGCTGGAGCAGTGCACTAACTCGTGTTAGTTCTCAGCCGAACACATTGCCTTCCGGTGCGCACCTGAGCGGTGGCACTGGTGGGCTGCGGTGCTAGCTGGTCTTGCGGTTTTCAGTCCCTCGCCGGAGTCGTCCGGTGATCTCACCGGAGTTCCCACTGGACATGAACTCCAGTGAGGGTTGCAAACTGAAGCTTTGGGCGTTGCACTCAGTGCAACTTTTCCAGCCGTCCGGAGCCATTAAATCCAAAAACAAATAAAGCCGTTAAATAAGTAATAGAGAGTTTGTCATACATTGCTTACCGTTAAAAAAATAAAGTAGTTAAATTCTAAAACAAATCTATAAAAATGCATCTTTATAAACATACAGTAATAGAGAGGTATATTGGTGTCAAGTATTTTATCCAGCACTTGTTATTTGTATTTTTTATTAAGAATAGTACATCATCCTTTTATTTTTATAAGGTGTCTCTTGATTTGAAAGTATTCTATAAAAATATTTTGACCTTTATTTGAGTATGTTATCAATCATTATAAATATACTCTCATAAGAAATGCAATTTTTACTTTTTAAGGAGTCAAAAGGTTTAAAGTTAAACAAAGTTATATTAAAAAGTAATAACACTTAATATACAAAATAAGTACCATTAAATTAAATATAAAATATAATTTTTCAGTAAACCTAGTTGGAAACATAAATGTTAATACTCTTCACCATATACATGATCAAATTGTAGTTTGCATTGCATAAATCTCATAGTTGCATCTTTTTTAAGTTTAGAACCCTGGTCTTAGCATTAGCAATAAGACCGTCTACAACATCCAGGTGGAACACCTTTCCAACAAGTCTACAAAGCACACATCTAAGAATCTCTCCAGAAAAACATCACAGTGGGCTCAAAAACCAATTACATGCCCCAATCAGAACCCAACTTCAGAAATTTAACCCATTTAACCCATTTCCCCTCTTAAAACACATCCCCAAAAGGCAAGAACTCGTTGACTTTTAGCTTCAGCCGGAACTTCTGTCAACTCCCAATCAAACATACGCCCTATTCATTTGGCTTATAAGCCGTACTTTTTCAACCAACGAACAGTATTTTTTTCTCACAATAAATCAGCCAATAGTACTTTTAGCCATGGCTTATCAGCCAAGCGAACATGACATAGTCTGGTAAAGAAATTTCTCCCATTTATCGTCCACTTGATTTAACCATGTAGCCTTAGGGGTCTGATGGCTAATAGTTTCATCTTCTACAGCCTTGTATTGAACTCCAGGATCTTTTCTAATGGGCAGGGTATACTCTAACCTTGGAGCATGATTGTTGTCTTTAGAAGAAGAGACTTCATATATTTTCAAAGAGGTCCCTGAAAGCAAGGACTGTTTCTTAATTTCCAAAGCCTTCACAGGGCATAGTTGTATGTATATCTTTTTATTGACAAAAAGAGTACATCATATTAGCTGATGGTTTTGCGGCTGATAAGCTAGCTAATGCTGTTTTGTTGTGAGAGAAAAACATTGTACCATGACTGATGAGCCGGACTGATAAGTTCAAGCGAACAGCGCAGAAGTCATCTATGTGTAACTTTTTATATACATTAAACTTACATATAATCGAATTAATTGTCAGTTAAGATTCATAGAAATTATAATATTTTTCATGCTCAAATACGTCTTGCAAAAATGAACAGAGGAGGAGCACACATGTTTTCTCCTAGGAAGTGACAGTGACAGAAGCCACCTCATTTCATGTGTTTGCCAGCTAACCGCGGACCGAACTTTGACCTTCCGCGTAATCCGCCGCTTCTGTCGCCGCCGCCGACTTCTCCCTTCCCCCGTCTTCCACTTCGGCTGTTCGGCACTCCCCATTCCTCCTGCTCGGCGCGCTCCCACCTCCTCTCACAACCATGGCGACGACCCACCCGGCGCTCCTCTTCCTCGTCGTCCTAGCATGCACCGGTGCCGCCAGCGGGTTCTATGTCAGACCTGGTACACTTGTGAGTTGAAGAAGACGTAAACCAAGAGAAGTACGCTAAGAAAGTTAGAAGACGTATTGGAGCAGTTATGTAATAGGGCCTTGTTTAGATCCCATCAAAATTCTAAGTTTTTTCATTCTTTTTCCATCGCATCAATTTTTGGACACATGGAGTATTAAATATAGGTAAAAAAATAATTAATTACACAGTTTGGTTGTAAATCATGAGACGAATCTTTTGAGCCTAGTTAGTCTATGATCGAACAAAGTTTGTCAAATATAAACGAAACGTGCTACAGTGTCCAAATTACAAAAATTTACGATCTAAACGAGACCTAGGTATAGTATGACTTGTGGGCCATAGGCTAAAGGGGATGTTTTAAGCGTGCGTTGTATCCGATTGAGAACTATTGCATTTAACTGAACTCGGTGAAAGAGGAAGGTTCGTTTCTCGCTTGCTCTCTGAAACTCCAAACGTCGACGGCGCTGGCCGGCGGCAACGGGGCGTGACATTCTACCTTCCCGGCGTCGCCCCCGCCGACTTCCGCAAGGTCTTGGCTTTATTTCCGCCGCTCTTTCACACAGTCTCACTCATTTCTTGGCCCTTATCCTCACGTGCTGGATCTCTGTGTGCGTGTGGGTCGTGGCGGCTGGTTGCAGAACGACTTGCTCGCCGTGAAGGTGAACCAGCTGAGCTCCATCAGGACGCAGCTGCCCTACTCCTACTACTCCCTACCCTTCTGCAGGCCGGATACCATCATCAACAGCGCCGAGAACCTCGGCCAGGTCCTCCGTGGCGACCGAATCGAGAACTCACCCTACGTGGTAATTCCTGTAGGACTGCAGCAGTTTGTACCATTATATATTTATTCGCCTCCTGCGAGCTGCTTTTGCTGCAAAATGTTTTGGATCGAGTTTCATTTGTGTTCGCGAAATGCAGTTCGAGATGATGGAGCCTAAGCTGTGTCAGATCACATGCAAGATTGTTCTGACCGAACAGGGAGCAAATGACATCAAGGAGAAAATCGAGGACGAGTACCGTGTAAACATGTGAGATCAGATGCTGCTTGCTAGCTGCAAAGAAATTCAGATAACTGGAATGGGAGGATGAGCCCTGTTTGCTTGCCTTGCAGGATTCTTGATAACCTTCCTCTGGTCGACCCAATTACGATGATTGATAGAGATGCGCCTCCATACTATCAGCAAGGTGTGAATCTGGGTGTCAAGGGCCTGTACGTTGGGGTGGGTTCATCTTCTTAATTATACTAGCTACCTGGGAATACCAATAATTTATTTTTCAGCCAGTGACAAATGTGTTCTGATCTAATGTCACTGATGCAGAGTAAAGATGTCATGTATTTCATCTACAACCACTACTCATTTCTGGTGAAGTATAACAAGGAGGCACAAACAGATCTCGCTAGGATTGTGGCCTTTGAGGTTAAACCATACAGGTTAAACATTTCATCTCACAGAGTGGAGTTACTTTGTGGTGTTCTCACATGATGCATGATATACAATGTCATTTTACAATTTTTTTGTGCTCACAGTGTGGGTGGAGTTTCTCTGTGGAGTTCTCGCATGATTCATGATATATATGCCATGTCATGTTACAATTTTTTTTATGTTCACAGGTACAGTGTACATTTAATCATTTATTGTGTCTGTTGCAGTCGTAAACATAAACCTGATGGTGATTGGAAGGGTAATGCAACTCGCCTTAAAACCTGTAATCCATACTCGGGGCTTCTAGTAGTGTACTCTGATGGGCCTCAACAAATAGAGGCAAACAAAGAGATCATTTTCACCTATGATGTTAACTTTGAGGTAGTTTCGATTGTTCGACTTGTCGAGTTGTTTCTATACAACCAACCTTGTTATTGAGATGTAGGCATGTAGCACTCCTATGCAAACTTCAGATAAATGGTCTAGTTTTTCATTGCAAAGCTTCAAATTTCGTGACCTTTTCATTTTTGCTTACATGATGTGTCATCCAGGAAAGTGATATCAAGTGGGCATCACGCTGGGACACCTACCTTCGCACAACTGATGGTGGTTTCCCATTGTGAATTCTCTGACCATGGTCCTCTTCCTCTCTGTAATGGTTGCCATGATCATGCTCCGGACTCTGTACCGTGATATTTCCAAGTACAACCAGCTAGAGAGCCAGGAGGAAGCCCAAGAGGAGTCTGGGTGGAAGCTTCTCCACGGTGATGTGTTCAGGCCTCCTGTCAATGTTGATCTGCTGTGCGTGTATGTGGGTACAGGTGTACAGTCCTGGGGCTCCTGTCACCTTCAAATCGTGGAGGGTTCATGACGGCCATGCTCCTGCTCTGGGTCTTCATGGGCCCGTTTGTAGGGTACTCCTCTGCACGTTTTTACAAGATGTTCGGGGGGATGGAATGGAAGAAGGTTGCCATCAGGACGGTCTTGGTATTCCCTGGAGTTGTCTTCCTAATATTCTTTGCCCTGAACATGCTTCTCTGGGGCGTGAAATCATCCGGTGCTGTACCATTCACCACCATGTTCGCACTGGTTTTCCTGTGGTTTGGAATCTCTATGCCACTGATCTTCATCGGCAGCTACCTTGGGTTTAAGAAGCCTTACATAGAGGACCCAGTGAGGACAAACAAGATACCACGCCCGATACCGCAGCACAGCCATGGTATATGAACCCAGCCGTCTCGATGTTGATCGGAGGTATCCTACCCTTCGGTGCTGTGTTCATGGAGCTCTTATTCATCCTGACAATAATCTGGATGCACCAGTTCTACTACATCTTTGGGTTCCTGTTCCTCGTCTTCGTGATCCTAATAGTGACCTGCGCTGAGATCACCATTGTGCTTTGCTATTTCCAGCTGTGTAGCGAGGACTACCAGTGGTGGTGGAGATCCTACCTGACGCCCGGCTCGTCAGCTCTGTACCTCTTCCTGTATGCAACATTCTATTTCTTCACGGAGATGCAGATCACGAAGGCAGCCTCCGGTGTGCTCTACTTGGGCTACATGCTCATTGCCTCCTACGCCTTCTTTGTGCTCACCGGCACCATTGGCTTTTACGCCTGCTTCTGGTTCACCAGGCTTATATACTCTTCGGTGAAGATTGACTAGGAAGCTAGAATGGCATCACTTCATGGTCGGCATGAGAAATCAGAGGTCAAAGTTGTGAAAGAATACATGAAAATGTAGCATGGCTTATACACAGAAGTAAGGTATAGGATATCTATTGGTCTATAATTCAGTTACATTTTTTGTGTCAGTGACTTGAGGTATGTGTGCGCATTATTATCGCACAGCTTACAGAATTGAGATGGTACTTCAGCTCCAGGAATTGAACATATGTTTCTTTAGCTGAAATGCTGACCATCTCGTGTTGTACTCCCTCTCGTTGATACAAAATATAAGTCAGACATTTAGGCATGGGCATTGCCACGGTGTAAAAGATAATACTTTGACTATATTTTCTATGAGGAAATAATATTTCAATTAAAAGACTGTATGCCATTGTAATATTTTCCATCATAAATCTAGTAAAAATTATCTATGGTGCCATTGTATGTATTGTGTACAGTAATAATTAGTTGATGGTGGAAGAACTTATTGTAATCTTAAAATAGCTTCTATTTTGGGTCGGATGGAGCAGGCGTGCATGGACATGTATTTGTTCAAAACTCGAAATTAAAAAAAAACTGTGACCAGGAACTAACCGGTTATTTCATTAATAAGAAAATAGACACTCAATTTCGAGCTGAAGAGGAATCTAATTTAGGTGATTGGGTGCATGTGCATGACTACACATCCAACTCCACCAGTTGAGCTAGGCTCATTTTTTGAAACCTCTTGAAAACTTGGAACTGCAGGAACTGCGACCTTCTTCACACATTCCAAAAGATTGGTACCCAATTTGAGTGGCAGTTTGTATTGACACTCCAGTACAATTAATTCTGGTGAAGAACGTTGACACTTAATAACGAAGAAGTGATGTCCTCTCTCTTCAAACACCCCACCCCTACCCACCCATCCAAACAATTCTGATCTCCAACATAAGTATGCATTGTATTGCACCCGTTCGAGATTGCAGTCTATGTACTTCCAGATTATCTAAAAGTTCGTATGTATTTACATTGATAAAAAAAGACTATGTTAAGATCATTGTTTAAATTAGCGCATTATGGTGGTGTTATAGCCGGCTGGAGAGAGCAGCCACAACGATATTGTACATATTTGTGGTCTCATGTCTCACTGATAAAACGGTGATCACTCTCCTCCCATGAGGCATCGTCATGATACTTCTTCCCCCTCTGATTGGGGACCCTCAAGTGAATTTCCGGATGGGTAGAACCGCAATGATACTGTTTTACGTGAAAAATTCAGTGGAGACTATCCTTATGGAGCAGCCGTAGGTGAGTACCTGTCGTGAACTGAGGACATGTGTCTATGCACAGCCATTTTTTTTCGAAAGCTTTTGTCGGATTTTTATTAGACGAGGTAAAAAAGAAAATAGGGGGGAGGGTTTACAGGGTTACACAAACGAGCCTAAGCTCGACACTACTAAGCTGAACCACTACTAAGACAGCACTGTCTAGGCTACCACTAAAAGAAGAAGACGAAACAACAAAGACACCATTTTGGTCTGTTCGTTTGCTCGTATACGATCGTGGATTATAAGCTGGAATAATATTTTTCTCTCGCACCAAACTAGCCAGCAGTAAATAATCCACGATCGTTTATGGCCTGCCGAACAGGCCGAAGAACAGAAGTACAAAGAGGGCGTAAGCTCTACTAATTAGCTGCAACATTTGGACTTGTGGCTAACTGAAATTGATCGAACTCCTCCTTTATGCACAGCCATTCAATGTATTCTTTCCAAACTACTCCAAAATTTACGTAGCAAGTATCTATGCGTTGATGATTGTGTATAGAGGCGTATCGTAAATCTACGATATATGCTCATGACTGTTCCACGAAAACTGTCTCCACTATCCACTAAATATTTGTTTTGGTTTTACGGACACCGTTTCCCTTGTTGAAGGCATGATCCTGAGCTAGCTGGTCTTGTGCGGTGTTATGACGGGGCACGGTCTCGCGCAACCAAGGTGGATTTCCAAGCAAAGAGCTGTGTTCCTGATGTCGAGAAGTACAGTTTTCAAGACCTGCTGACTTCTTTGATACTGCTACTAGTAGATCCCCGTCGAAAACAACTTTGGCCCTGCTTGTCTTGTAATCCGTATTTTTTGATTTGTCTTTTTATTCAGAATAATATTTTTCTCTCACGATAAAATCAGCTAGAACAATATTTCGGTTTGTTTTTTCAGCGAAGTGAACGGAACCTTCATGACAAGGACGATCCCATTACAATCCGAAGATTTCCCTGAATCACGAGCCTGCACAGCACCGCTAACACGTTCTGAACATATTATAAATAAAAAAGAAAAAGTGCACACGACAGTGGGTCACTCTCACTCGGAACGAAAGAGACAAAATTGTAGTGCTCCGTCTCCAACTCTCCACATGTCTGCGCTCGTCCGTAGTGGTGTGTGCACACCTGTTCTTGGGGTTGGGCAGACGCTGAACCCGCGACACGTCCGCATCTCCACTGAGGCCACTCGGGCTCCAAAAATGCTGCATTCATGTCTGTTCGGACTTCGGAGCATGCAGTCCTCGCACTCCACAAACATCGTCAACAAAAATCAGGCAGAGGCCACCAGGCCGGTACACACGCAACGACAAAAATTTATTTATCATACAGATTAGCATGAGAGTCAAATGACCTTGGTATTCCTATTTATTGAGTATGTATCTTCTATAGAAAAGATTAGTAGTCATGTGTATCAGTAAATTATGCATGCATTTCGAAAAAAGAGAGTAAATTATGCATACAACTATAATTAAATAGCTTCCATGCCGTCGACATAAGGATTGAACAAATAGAAAAAAAAAATGCACGGTTGATTTGATATTCGTGAAACTTACTGGATAGGATACAATGAGAAATTTCAGTACTAATGAATCTAAACAGACTCTTATAATAATAAGTGTTTTGTATCTAGTCATTTCAAGGGCACGTGACCTCTGTTTAGCAAACGACAAACAACTTGAGCTTAGATCACAGTTAAAACAACAACAACAACAACTTGAGCTTAGATCACAGAAATCGCAATTCAAGCTCGATAGGAGCTGAGCTCGAGCCTAAACCCTAGGCTCTCGAGCCCCGACAATCCAAGCTCAAAAGTCTCGTTAAAGCTCATTTTAGTTCTATGTATCTCTTATCAGCCTGCTGCTGCAAAATACGGTAAACCAAAGTACAAAAAAGTAGTGTACAAACAGCCTAGAAAGAAGTGCAGCCAAGCAGGGCTTATATTTTTTTTAAAAAAATCTGTAATAAATATTTTTGTTAGTATGTTATAAATTGATTAATACAATTGATGCATGTAAAAGATACTTTGTTTTATAATCAATTAATTTACAAGATTGTTTCATTATTTTATTATTTATTACCTTGTGAAATAAATGACGCTTACCTTCTCAAGCAAAGCTGTACCAGCAAGCTAAAATTTGACCAAAATGATACATTAGAATATTAATATTTATATTATTAAATAAGTATAATTTGATTCGTCCCGCAACATAGTTTTGTAGTACACTTATTTATAAGTATTATCACTCTAGATTTCATGTATTGTTTTCATTTTAAAATGTGACGCTCTAAACTCTCACTAACACGCAAGCTGCACGGTGTAATGTTACGGCTGTGTACCGTTGTACCCTAAACCACCGTAATTAACACGGGCCTCATCCGGCGTCGTGATTCGCGCACCACGGCGGGCCCCACATCCCACCTGACATCCTGACCCGACCCGACCCTCCGGAATCGGCGATTCGGTTCGGTGGGCCACGAGGCGAAACACGCACCCGGCGTACCGCGAGGGGTTCCGGGCCCACCTGACAGCCTCCCGCCTAAACCCCGTCGCCGCGCCGCCCCGGGCCGGGAGGCTGGGGGGGAGACCCGTCAAATCCAAGCAAAGGTCACCCCGAGGACGGCCGGCGACGACTTCCCCCTTCCAACACCCTCCTCCTCCTGCGTCCCTCCCTCTCTCCTTCCCCGCGCGCCCTGATCCCAGCCATTCATCCATGGCGACGAACAGCGCGGTGATGGTGCTCCTCCTCCTCGCTGCCGCCGTACTCGCCTGCGCGGGCGGCGCGCGCGGGTTCTACCTCCCCGGCGTCGCCCCCGCCGATTTCCGAAAGGTCTCTCCCTCCTTTGTTCTTCTTCTTCCTCTGTGTTTCGATTTTGTGTTTTTGCTAGCTGGGTTGGTTTGTTGATCTCGGTGAGTCCTCTCCTCACGCTCTGAGTCTGTGTGGATTGCAGAAGGACCCGCTCGCCGTGAAGGTGAACCAGCTGAGCTCCATCAAGACGCAGCTGCCCTACTCCTACTACTCCCTCCCCTTCTGCAAGCCGGGCACCATCGTCGACAGCGCCGAGAATCTCGGCGAGGTGCTCCGCGGCGACCGCATCGAGAATTCACTCTACGTGGTAAGCCTGTGCCGCACTAGTATTAGTGCTCCACTGTTCACCTGTGTTTGTCAGTACTTAGCGGTCGTTCTGGGAGAGTCTGAGCAAAAGGTCACTCGTGTATTTTTGCTATAATTAGCTCGGTGCTCTTATGAAATTTCAATCGTCCTTGAAATGCAGTTCGAGATGATGGAGCCTAGACTGTGCCAGATCGTGTGCAAGATTGCTCCGAACGAAGATGAAGCGAAGGATCTGAAGGAGAAAATTGAGGATGAGTACCGCATAAACATGTGAGAGGGCATATGCTGCTTTTCATAGATTTAGATCAATAGCCCATTTATTTCAGGTGACTAGAACGAGGAAGTGAACCTTGGTTTTTGTGGCTTTGCAGGATCCTTGACAACCTTCCTTTGGTGGTCCCAATTAAGAGATTGGATCAAGAGGCACCTACTGTATACCAACAAGGTGTGCATATCGGCATCAAGGGACAGTACTCAGGGGTGGGTTGATAATCTGCTAGCTAGAATGTTGATGTGTTCAGCTTACGTCAAGTGTGTTCTGATTTGACTGTTATTGATGCAGAGCAAGGAGGAGAAGCATTTCATTCACAACCACTTCACATTTCTGGTGAAGTATCACAAGGATGCGAACACAGATCTTGCCAGGATTGTTGCCTTTGAGGTTAAACCATACAGGTGTAATATTCTATCCTTGTTTCTCAACTTATAGCACCGTGCTTGCCATCCTTTTCCATTTATATGATTGTTATAACAAAAAGTTATCATATCTGCTGGCTTCTGCAGTATTAAGCATGAACCTGATGGTGACTGGAGGGGGAATGCTACACCCCTTAAAACCTGTGATCCACACTCAAGACGCCTTGTCGTAGACTCTGATTCACCTCAAGAAGTAGATGGCAACAAAGAGATCATTTTCACCTATGATGTGAACTTTGAGGTAGTTTCAACTGTTTTTAATCTTGAACTTTTTGTCTATGATCAGCCTTAATGCATCATGACAGAAGTCTCCACTGTAAACCTTCAGATAGATGGTATAGTTTTTCCCCCCCTTGAGATTTTCAAATCTTCTGACACTTTTTTGTTCATATGTGTGTCATGCAGGAAAGTCCTATCAAGTGGGCATCACGCTGGGACACCTACCTTCTGATGGCAGACGACCAAATCCATTGGTTTTCTATTGTCAATTCACTGATGATAGTCCTCTTCCTCTCTGGGATGGTTGCCATGATCATGCTCCGGACTCTTTACCGCGACATCAACAAGTACAACCAGTTAGAGGACCAGGAGGACGCCCAGGAGGAGACAGGATGGAAGCTTGTCCATGGAGATGTGTTCAGGCCTCCTGCCAATGCTGACCTGCTGTGCGTATATGTCGGTACAGGCGTACAGTTCTTTGGAATGCTGCTTGTCACCTTGCTGTTTGCCATCCTCGGGCTCCTTTCACCTTCGAACCGTGGAGGGCTCATGACAGCAATGCTCCTCCTCTGGGTCTTCATGGGGCTGTTTGCAGGGTACGCCTCCTCGCGCCTTTACAGGATGTTCAAGGGCTCAGAGTGGAAGAATGTCACCATCAAGACTGCGCTGATGTTCCCTGGCATCGTGTTTGCAATTTTCTTCATCCTGAATGCACTCATCTGGGGCGAAAAATCCTCAGGTGCCGTGCCATTCACCACCATGTTTGCTCTGGTGCTCCTCTGGTTTGGCATCTCCATGCCATTGGTCTTTGTCGGCAGCTACCTTGGCTTCAAGAAGCCTGCCATGGAGGACCCAGTGAGGACAAACAAGATACCACGGTCAATACCCGAGCAGCCATGGTACATGAACCCGGTCGTCTCGGTGCTGATCGGAGGCATCCTGCCCTTTGGCGCAGTGTTCATCGAGCTCTTCTTCATCCTGACATCAATCTGGCTGCACCAGTTCTACTACATCTTTGGGTTTCTGTTCCTGGTCTTTGTCATCCTGATCCTAACCTGTGCGGAGATCACCATCGTGCTTTGCTACTTCCAGCTCTGCGGTGAGGACTACCAGTGGTGGTGGAGATCCTACCTGACGTCTGGCTCGTCAGCGCTGTACCTCTTCCTGTACGCCACGTTCTACTTCTTCACCAAACTGGAGATAACGAAGACGGTCTCCGGCGTGCTCTACTTTGGCTACATGCTCATCGCCTCCTACGCCTTCTTTGTGCTCACCGGCACCATCGGCTTCTATGCCTGCTTCTGGTTCACCAGGCTCATCTACTCTTCAGTCAAGATCGACTAGAAATCTAGACTACGGTTGATACACTGTTTTGTGGGTTTGCGAAAGCAATGAGCAAAAGAGAAATAATAGGTAACGAACATCAGAAGTTGAGAATGTAGCATGCATTATACAAGGTGAAACTTTAAACGTAGGGTGCTTATTCAGGTGTTTTAGGGTATTTACAGTTTGATTCTGGAACACTAAATTAGTTTACTTCGAAGCCAGTAATTCAGTGTGTATCCTTACAGAGCAGGTTTGTGATGTTACAATCCAACAATTTAACATTTTTAACCATATCTTGTGTTGGTGACATTCTGAAGGATCCCAGCATCTTCTTTTCCGTTGTGTGACTACTGGTTACGCTGAAAGCGTCAGACAAGCTTCGATTTCTGTTGGTTTTAAATTGGAAACAGCAATCGTATGGAGATCGAAGTCTGGTTCTAACAATAAATGATAAATCATAATTCACAAGTGAGACTTCTTTATTCGGTAATAAAATTGGCATGTTCTACACGGATAGTAAGATAGTAGCACACGAGCAAAAAGCACTTGAGATTTTGCACATATGGGACACGTACACATCACCCGCCAAAGAGCCTAATAGCTTATTACTGGAACATCTCGGTAAGCTAGCTAATGGACGATCTCCACTGCCATCTCTAAGCCCGGCGGCTAGCCTCCTGATGGTCACGCCCGTTCTTCTTGCGCCCGTCCCCGAACATGAGGTAGCCGAGGCCACCAACGACGATGAGGCCGCCTACCGCCAGCGTCGTTGGGCTGTAGCGCCGTAGAGGGCTCGACGGATGCGCCGATGCCGACCCCGCGCGCTTGAGCGGGTCTTCTGCCCACGCGTTCATCTTCTCCGGCCACATGACGCACAGACGATGCTCCTTTCTGAATTCTGATGATGATGGCTACCTCCACTACACGGACTAGCTAGGAAGCTCTCTGTTTCCTGCTCCGTGCTGAAACGTGTTATGGGGTGCTAGAAGCAGCTTTATGGTGGTAGCAGGTTAAGCGGCAAGGGACACGCAGGGAGTAACACGTACAAGCGTGACATCGTAGCACTGCCACGTAGCCCATGCAACATCAAGTCACTGGTCTGGTCTGCCTCAGGAATGAACTAGTAGCAGCCTACTAGAATATATGTAGTGCATCATGAGTAAAATGCCAGATGGAAAGAGAAACCCTTTTCTTGTTTAGAGCCAGAAGGATCAGGAACATCGTTTCGGTGAAACCATCTTATCCTAACTGATGATGGCTATGGATGAAAACGGTACGGATATTTATTCGACCGTCCGTTCGACCGAACAAATATGAACACTTATCTGGATAGTTACTCGGATATCCGGGTTTTTTTTCGGATACGGATACTAAAACGGATATCTTAGGCGGATATCAAATACGGATGTAATATCATCGATATCCGGCGGATATCGGATAATCCGGATAAGTATCGGATATATCCGGATATTTAAAAACGGATATTATCCGGATATTTATTCAAAATTTAAAAATCACAAATTTGAACCATTCAAACTATCTCAAATGGAAAGTTGACCAAAACAACAATTGTAGATCTTGATGAGTTGAACAAACTTGGTATTCAAAACTTTTCAATTTGAAGTCATTTAGAGTTCATAATACTAGAGTCAAAGTGTTGTTTTTTCATTTGACCAAATTTGACTTGGTCAAACTTGCTCAAATGAGACACTAAATGACCTCAGATGAAAAAACTCTGAATACCAAGTTTGATCATCTCAGCAAGATCTACAATTGTTACATAGCTCATTTTCCCATTTGAGAAAGTTTTATCAAACACTAGTCATAAATTTTTGAATCTCATATAGACTTTCTGAAACTATGTCACACACTTGTGAAATTTGAACTATATTTTGTTCAAACTTTCTCAAATGAAAAAATGGCCTATATAAGGATTGTATATCTTGATGAGATGAACAAATTTGGTATTCAAAACTTTTCAATTTGAGACAATTTAGGGTTCCGAAAACTAGTTTGTAAACGTCAAAATTTAAAAATCACAAATTTGAACCGTCCAAACTATCTCAAATGGAAAGTTGACCAAAACAACAATTGTAGATCTTGATGAGTTGAACAAACTTGGTATTCAAAACTTTTCAATTTGAAGCCATTTAGAGTTCATAATACTAGAGTCAAAGTGTTGTTTTTTTCATTTGACCAAATTTGACTTGGTCAAACTTGCTCAAATGAGACACTAAATGACCTCAGATGAAAAAACTCTGAATAACAAGTTTGATCATCTCAGCAAGATATACAATTGTTATATAGCTCATTTTCCCATTTGAGAAAGTTTTATCAAACACTAGTCACAAATTCTTGAATCTCATATAGACTTTCTGAAACTATATCACACATGAAATTTGAACTACATTTTGTTCAAACTTTCTCAAATGAAAAAATAGCCTATATAAGGATTGTAGATCTTGATGAGCTGAACAAACTTGGTATTCAAAACTTTTCAATTTGAGACAATCTAGGGTTCCGAAAACTAGTTTGTAAGCATCGAAAATTAAAAATCACAAATTTGAACAGTCCAAACTATCTCAAATGGAAAGTTGACCAAAATAAGAATTGTAGATCTTCATGAGTTGAACAAACTTGGTATTCAAAACTTTTCAATTTAAAGTCATTTAGAGTTCATAATACTAGAGTCAAAGTGTTGTTTTTTCATTTGACCAAATTTGACTTGGTCAAACTTGCTCAAATGAGACACTAAATGACCTCAGATGAAAAAACTCTGAATACCAAGTTTGATCATCTCAGCAAGATATACAATTGTTACATAGCTCATTTTCCCATTTGAGAAAGTTTTATCAAACACTAGTCACAAATTCTTGAATCTCATATAGACTTTCTGAAACTATATCACACACTTGTGAAATTTGAACTACATTTTGTTCAAACTTTCTCAAATGAAAAAATAGCCTATATAAGGATTGTAGATCTTGATGAGCTGAACAAACTTGGTATTCAAAACTTTTCAATTTGAGACAATCTAGGGTTCCGAAAACTAGTTTGTAAGCATCGAAATTTAAAAATCACAAATTTGAACCGTCCAAACTATCTCAAATGGAAAGTTGACAAAAACAAGAATTGTAGATCTTGATGAGTTGAACAAGCTTGGTATTCAAAACTTTTCAATTTGAAGTCATTTAGAGTTCATAATACTAGAGTTAAAGTGTTGTTTTTTCATTTGACCAAATTTGACTTGGTCAAACTTGCTCAAATGAGACACTAAATGACCTCAGATGAAAAAACTCTTAATACCAAGTTTGATCATCTCAGCAAGATATACAATTGTTACATAGCTCATTTTCCCATTTGAGAAAGTTTTATCAAACACTAGTCACAAATTCTTAAATCTCATACAGACTTTCTAAAACTATGTCACACACTTGTGAAATTTGAACTACATTTTGTTCAAACTTTCTCAAAATGAAAAAATGGCCTATATAAGGATTGTAGATCTTGAATCCATGACCATGACTCCATGAGACCCATGAAGCAATGTGCTTGGCTATTTCTACTCATGCCGCGAAGATTGGTGCTTATATGATGTTTGATGTATCTGTATTTTTATCTTATTTGTTGCTTTACTCTTTAGTCTTTCGGCTTAATCTAGATGGATTATGGACTCATAGAGTGGTGTAATGGTTTGCGCACGTATGATATATATATATATGCTGCTTTTACTCAATATCCGAATAGATATTTGTATCCGACCTTCTCCGAATCCGATTCATACCGTATTCGATACTCATTATTCGTATCCGTAACCGAGTCAATCCGTATTCGTATATGTATCCGAACGCTATCCGTGTCCGAATCCGAATCCGAACAGAAATATAAAAACAAATATAATATGAGTGATATCCGTTCGTATCCGATCCGTTTTCATCCCTAATGATGGCAAAGGCACAACAGTACAGCCACTTGGATGTGGTATTGGGAAGTATTATTTCTATACGGTATTATTTTCCCTTATACAGGACAGGGATCATGTCAAGAAAGTTACAATTTCACCCGAATTCTCGGTAGGCATGCCCTAAACCTCTAAAAGAATGGTAATTTACATCGGCAGAAATTCAGGGTTCTGATCAAGTACCTTACATGGTGAACTGATTCATCGGTCCTATGGCAGGAGGGCATATACACTCTACAAAGGCATCAGTCTCTTGTACTTGAAGAACCAAAGGAAGGAGCAGAAGATGAAAACGCCAACCACTGAAGTAATTACAAGGACCCACTGGAATGCATTCTCTATTTTGAAAACTGATGTCTCAAAGTTCATCCCAAATATCCCAGCTACCACTCCGAAAATGGCCACAACAAATGTTGCAGTCGTTAGCAGCAACTCAAACTGGATCAGCTGGTTCCGCACATTGTCCTAGGAACATATGACACTCAGTCAAATAAGTTACACAGACCAGCAGTGTGAGAAATGCATAAATCTGATATGCATATCCCAAATAAGGAGAGAATAAAATATGTTGACGTACCAGCTGAATGTTGATGAAGTCTTCGGTGTCATCAATATACTCTTTAAGCTGAAAGAAGGAAAAACAGATCAGATCCCTTGACTCCACATAACCAGATTTAAGATATGCTGGGGATATGGCTCGGTACCGATGTCAGCTTGTTCAGAGTGCTGTCGATAACAACGAAATAAGCTTCCAGTAACATCTCCAGCTCCTGGATATGCTCTGTCGTAGTGTTATCTGAGCCCTTTGTACTGTCATGCCTACTTCTACACAAACTGAAAGTTTTCTCCAGTTTTCGTGATTCTGTGGGTGATGAGACTGGAGATACAGGAGCTGAAACTGAAGTCCCAGCAGCGCCAGCTGAATTGTAGCCCAACAAAGACTGGTCACCAAAGACTGATGATTCCATCCTCATCTTTTTTTCGGTGAGATACATCTCGGCCATATCACCATCGTCATCCATTAGTTGTTCTATTTCATCTCTGACCTATTGGAAGACAAAATAACAATTAGAAAACCGGTCTACACAAATGGTCTGCAACAAGGGAAATCGAGATTAGGCTATATTTTACTTTTTGAACTCTTCTGGTCAATGCAACTAGTCTACTTTTTAATCGCCGGACACGTTCCAAATTGAGAGTACTGATTTTGGATGTCAGCTCATCCAATAATGGATATGCTTCAATTTCCAATTCCGCTGCCTGAAGAGAAACAGAAAAAAAAACACACATTATTACATATGCACTGATTTTATTAATGTCAAAAGGCAATCAGCATCATTTGACACAAGGCATGCCTACACCTAACTTGCTTGGGACAAGAAACCTAGAAGGTTCTGTTGTTGATTTGATCATGCAAGAGGGGTGCTTCAATCAGTGAGACATAATATGCATAAGACCATATCAACAGTCAACACTCAACAGAGAATTTTTGTAGCTAAAACTCTAGCCAAAAAGCCATGAGTTCTCGAACAGCATGGACTAGAAAACTTGTGGTCAGTGTTGCTTTGTGTTTTAGAAGTTACTGTTGGGTGTTGGCAGAGTTATCTCTAGGCACATTTCTTGTATTTTTATCCAGCTTTTACAAACACAATGTTGCCAATAGTAAAACCAAACAAAGCTCTTGTCGCCTCTATGCTAACTTTCAGAATTTTAGCATCCATGGATGCAATCACTCAGTATTAACCTTTTTTATCAAATCAGAAGGACAGTTACTAAATATGGAAAACACTAAACCACACATAACTCATCCTGGTAACAGCTAAACACAGACGGTTACTGTCCCATTGATAAGTTGGGCTGGTAGAATCAGGTCATTTTGAAAAATCGCCACTTACAGAATTTCCCAGT